TGTAAAACCAAATAATTCGTTCCAACGCGAAAAACATACTCAAATTAAAGCCAAGTAATACATTAAAAATTATAACTGTAGTAACAAAAACAAATGAAAAATGCGAACTAATGTAACGTCGTATGGTGAGTTTTTGTTCGTATTGTGGAGCAAAAATATGTTCGAATTTCATGTCGTATCCTGAAAATTTCGTATGCTGGGGCGTTCGTAACCTGAGGTACCACTGTAATTGCATTTGCATTAATTTCTATGGGAAGAATTGCTTCGGTTAACGAACAATTCAGTTAACGAACGGAGTCGCGGAACGGATTAAGTTCGTTAACCGGGGTTCCACTGTATACAGGAAAGGAACTATAAACATAGAAAAGAATATAAATAGGGGCTGCCCACAGGGCTCCAGGTGTAGACCAGGGCTATGGAACCTAGTGTTCGACAGCCTATTAAACTCATTTCCAAACACCAATGAAGCGTCCATGCAGGCATTTGCCGACGACCTACTGTTAATGGTCGCCCACAGGAATCGCGATAGATTGGCAGACATATCCAATAAACATCTGGAGCACATATATAATTGGAGCATGAACAACAAGCTGCCAATTAATTTCGAGAAATGCCATGCAATGGTCTGCACCCGACCAAATAAAGGCGGCAGGTTACAGAGGGCACCCTGCATTAACATCGGAGGGAAAAAAATAAAGGTCGGCCAGGAGCTAAAGTACCTCGGCATATACTTTGACGAGAAGCTAAACTGAAAGCACCACATCAAACAACTATGCCAGACCTCTATCAAACGAGCAAACTTGTTAAAATGGATCACAGGGAAAGATTGGGGTTTAAACTTCAAAAACAAGAAAATTATCTACAAGGCAGCTCTAGAACCAGCTCTGCTGTACGCCATCCCAATATGGCACGAAGCATTGAACAACACACACGCAAGGAGGCAGCTGCTTTCGATTCAGAGGCGCTACGCAATTCAAGTATGTAGGGCGTACTGTACAGCGCCCACCAACGCCTTGCTAGTAATGGCCGGTATAACTCCGATCCATATTAAAGCCAAAAGTATTGCCTACAGATGGCTAATAAATAATAACAAAAGTATACAACAAACAACAATTAGGCCAATCAACGGGAACGAGAATGAAATCACAAGGGGAATCTCCAACATAATGGAGACCATAAACAATAACGGAATAGAAAGCACGGAAAAACGCCACCCACGAGAGGAAAATACCTACCTTAACCCGGAATAGTAAACCTTAACCCGGAAAATGACGGAAACATCCCAATAACATGGGACATTTATACTGACGGATCAAAGAGCGAGGAGGGAACGGGTGCCGGTTTTGTGATAATGAACTGTCAGGGCAAGGTTAAATACCAAGCCTACCTAAAGATGGCCTCCCACTGCACAAACATACAGGCAGAGCAGTGGGCCTTGTACAGAGCAATCAAATATGTCACGGATAACAACCATAGGTATAAAGGGCATACCAGATTTTATACAGATAGCCAAACAGCACTAAAAATACTCATAAACAAAAGAAGATATACCGGACTCTCGCAGGAGTTAATCACTGCGGCTAATAATCTGGGAAAGACCAGAAAGGTCATCTTCAACTGGGTACCGGGACATCAGGGAAATCCCGGAAATGAACTCGCCGACAAACTGGCGAAAAGGGCAAGCACATTGGATAAAGAACCCACATATAAAAGGCTTCCTAACACATGGCTCAAGAACCAGCTACACGTGATTGAAATCAACCAGTGGCAGCGCAACTGGGACTCCGCTGATACCGGCAGGAATACTCACGACTACATTCCATCCATTCATCTCCGCTTAAAGACCAAACATTACACTCCCGATGCCGAAACCTCTCAGATTCTAACTGGCCACGGTAATTTCGCCTCCTATCTCTGCCGTTTTGGCAAGCGGGAGACAAACACCTGTAATTGTGACGACTTCAGCGAAGGTAACAGCAACCACCTACTATTCGAATGTCCAACTTATGAACAAGAAAGGCTCTCTTTCATGGGGACCTGCCTTAAAAACGGTCTTAACTGGCCACCAAGACCGAAAGACATTTTTAACATCAAAAAAGTCTGGAACAGTCTCAAGAATTACATCAAAAATACAAAGGCACTGTGCAATAATTTTCGAACTACGACTGCGACTTAGGACTCGACATCTACTAAACCACACCAACGCCAGGCAGAGTTTAGGGCCGCCACTTTAATGAGCTCTCGGACAGTTGTTGGTACGGAACTATCTAATGGATCGGTAATTCAGCATAGTCTTCTGAAATCTGCAAGGACTATGTAGGCAGCCGTATCGACTTGTATCATCATGTAACCACCTTATTGTATATAATGAATCGCGTAAGTATAATGTAAGTGAATATTGTATATGTCAAACTATGTCTTGTATACTAGGGTGTTGTAAACGCGGCAGAATTGCCGTGTAGTTTCTATATTGTTACGCTCTTGTAAAAATGTAATGATTAATATTAAGTATGTTAGAAATTAGGTATTCTGTGTAGCACGAGATGCGAGAGCAGCATCACCACGTAGTTTTAGAAGACGCCAATTGTCATGGTGTTCTCATAATAATGCTGTTACTCTGTAAATATCACACGTTTACCATTCAAGCACTGTACGCACTTACTATGTAAAGTCAATATGTAAATATGTTATTATTATCTGTAAATTCTGCAATCGTTCTGTATTCTGTTATATTAATAAATGCGATGCGGGCGCCCATGATGCCTCCCATGCCTTCCTTCACACTTTCCTATCTCGCTTTCCCTTCACACTTCGCTCACATGCTTTTCCTTCCTTCCTCTTCCAACAGGGCCAAGTCCGTTACAAATAAATGGATAGCCCTCTCCTCCTTTGATCTAAATGTCCTAAATGAGTTGGAATATATCCAAAACATAGCAATACAGCAAGGATAACATAGAGAAAGAAAAGATGCTCTTATTATGAATTGTCAGAAACAACACCTCTCGAAGGGAGGGAATCAGCATAGGGAAAGAGTCGTGCTCAATTACATACTGTTCCTCAAAGGAACGGTTAAAAAAGTTACCAGAAATAAGAATATACAGATAGTTTACAGGCATAATCCCACTGTATACAGACTCTTAAGAAGCAATAAAGGCAGTTACGAATGCAACACGTTGGCAGGGATATACTCTATACCTTTAAAGGACCATAGATTTAACTCCAACTTGGTATACATAGGATCAATCATGAGAAACTTACACTCTACAGTGCTTGCTGCTTTTGCCAAACAACAGGATATTACGGTGTTCTGGGATCAGGCGTCAATCATCAAGGCTACTAGATCCAAGCAAGCCATGAAACATCTAGAAAAATTAGAAATTTACAAGGCACAGTTGAACACAAACTGTATCAATCATAGGGATGCTGACGGACTGTCATCAGCGTGGAAATCCTTCTATGACGAGTTGACATATTTTATATAAGCGGCAAAGTTAATTATGATAATTTTTACTGGATGTATATATTTTATTTTATTTCTTTATTTCATTTTAATTAATTTGTATAGTCTTTGCGATTATTTAAGCTTGTTATGTGTTACTGTAAATTTCTGCAACTGCTTTTTGAATTTTATTTTATGTAATTTCGAATTCTTCATTTGATTCAGAATGATAACTGAGGATGATCGCTTAAAGTGTTTGAACACATTTTAAAGATATTAAAAGTTATTTGCTGGAATGTTTAAACGTTTTGTTTTTATTTAAATATCTCTATGGCTTTCAACCATTTCAGTTGTTGTGGGTTGAGTTAGCAATAATGATCTTCGCCTCTTCTAGGTTTGCTATTATCCCCTGTTCTGATGCATATATTGCCAGGGCCATTGTGTTTCTACCGTGCTGGATGTTTGAATCGTGTTCTTTCAATCTCACTTTTAATGAATGTTTTGTGGAACCGATATACAGTAGAGCGTCGTTTATCCGAAAGCTGGTTATCCGAAAGCATTCCAGTCGGCAATTTTAAATTTTCGCTAGTGCTGTGGCGCTGCAATTTTCGGCTATTTCTCAAGCTACTCAAATACTTTACGTTTCTGATACTAAATTATCATCTGAAGTATAATTTTTTATTGTTTTTATATTTTTCAATAAATTTATTTTGTTTGTACAAAATAAAAAAAATAATTTTTAACGATACAATAGTCTTCATTAGGCTTAACATCGACGAAAATTCAACGCGAAGTGACACGCAATGGAGAGAAATTTCAATATGGGATAAATTAATATATTTTTTCGTACATGATTCGTTATCCGAAAAATAAGTTATCCGAACCACCCCAGTCCCCAATTGATTCGGATAAACGACGCTCTACTGTATGTTAGTTGTCTACCGTATCGATTGTCTTCTAGCAGTACTGTGTGTACTCCTGGTAACCTTTTTAGGGTTTGGAAGATCCTTGCCATTACTTAGTACCCTGAAGACTGTGACATCTTTTGTATGCGATATTTATTCCTCTTCTTTTGGCTATCATGTTATATATTGATTTCAGTGTTGGATTATATGTGATAGGTATCCTCTCTTTTTCTTCATCAGGTATATTTAAGGTGTAACGAATAAAGTTATCACTTCCAAGTAAAGCTAAAGAAAACCATAAGATAAATAAAAAACAACATCTCCTCTCTGACCAGAGCAGATAAGGATAAATTGTTAGTAATCATGAAGCGGGATACATATGAAAAGAACTTAAAGGAGTACATTAGCATGACCCAATGTACAGAAGTGCAGGAGATCTATATCAATAAATTACAATCAAAGGTCAAATGTTTTGCTAACACAAAACTAGCGAAAAAAATGAATATGAGAAACATAATAGTGGATGCACCTGAAATACCATGGTTATTTGCATTCTCAAAAACACATAAAAAAGCACAACTCAGACCAGTGGTGGACAAAACCAAGACCCCCCACTCATATTTTAGAAAATATCACACACAAATTACTCATCCCACACTTACAGGAATACCAATTCAATACATCTAACCCAACAGAACTTATAGAACAACTGAAGATGATAGCACATCCAGCTTATGCTACAGTCTTAGACTTGCGAACGTTATAGCCTTTGACAGAACTACCACCATGTTTCTGTGAACTCAGGGACTACCTATTTTCGATAATTGAAGAGACCACAATGCACCAGCAGATTCTTGAACTAGCACATTTATTATGCTAGAGCTCTCCCTTCCAATTTAATGGGATCACTTACATGAAAGGTAAAGGAGTCCCCCATTCGTATTTTAGAAACTATCATGCACAACTTACTAATCTCACATCTGGAAGGATAACAATTCAATACATCCAACCCAGAGAACTTATAGAATAAAGGAGCCCGATGGGCAGTCAAGTATCGGGCGATTTATGTGAAATGGTGATCAGAAAACTAGAAAACAACATTCTACCACATTTCTTACCCAATATCTTATTGTATAAACGTTATATTGACGACATCAACATATTTTGGAGGGTGGAACTGGACCTAAAACTCTTCCTAGAAGCCATGAACAACATAGTACTTCAAAGGGGCATTTCTTGGACATTGATATCAACTTCGAAGGAATGAATATAATTACATCTGTATACCAGAAACCCAGTACCTTCCCCATATATATACCAAGAGATTCATGTAATCCTTTCCTATATAAAGTGGCAGCATTCCAAGCATTTGTGAGAACAGCTCACACACACACTCCTCGACGCAACAAGCTCTTACAAAGGAACTCCAACATATAAAAAATATTGCAGTAACCCATGGATACAACAAAAATCTCATCGAAACTTTGCCTAAAAAACATGAGCTTACCCAAGAAACATCCAATGTTCACACAGGGCCACCCTTGAATATACCTGACAAAGAAAAAGAGAGGATATCTATCACATATAATCCGACACTGAAATCAATATATAACATGATAACCAAAAGAAGAGGAATAAATATTGCATAAAAAAGATGTCAAACAGTCTTCAGGATACTAAGTAATGGTAAGGATCCTCCAAACCCTGAAAGGTTACCAGGAGTATACACAGTACTGCTAGAAGACAACCGATACAGTAGACAACTAACATATATCGGTTCCACAAAACATTCATTAAAAGTGAGATTGAAAGAACATGATTCAGACATACAGCATGGTAGAAACACAATGGCCCTAGCAACATACGTGTCAGAACAGGGGATAATAGCAAATCTATAAGAGGTAAAGATCATTATTACTAATTCCAACCCACAACAACTGAAATGGTTGGAAACCATAGAGATATTTAAAGCAGAAATAAATAGTACATGTATTAATTATAAGAATGAAATGACCCTATTCATAGCATGGCAGATATTGCTGGATAAGGACCTATAAAGGAGATTTCACAAAGCAGTGTATACAAAGCATGTGCAATAAAACTGTATTATTATGGAATATTTGCACATGACAATATTCAGAAGAAATTCGTACATAAAGTGTATTCGAACAGTAACAGCCTGTTCGATAAAGCCTGAGGAAGAGCCCAGGAGGTCATTCGAAAATGTTTGCGACTATAAAAAAGGAACCACTCCAGTTAACAGGTTTGAAGAGTAGATATAGTTACAATATACATTTTTTCTATCTGCAATTTCTCATCATTGTGACACTGTTTATTTTATACCTTCTTTTGGTAATAATTTCTGTTACATTCACATACCTTACTAAACATCCAGGTTAGGTTCCACATCACTATCACATTACAAATATCTTAAAAAACAAAACATTTTTTCTTTCTTGCCTGCCAACAGCCTATAAATATTTATGGTATAATTTATTAAGTACATAATAGCACTAGGCTGGAAAAAAAGCCCAGAAAATCCTCTGAAGAGTAAGGCAAATGATGAAAATAATAAAGTTTAATATAATTGAAAGTACCACATTAGCAAAAAATTCTTCAAGCAAGGATAACTGTACTAAAGAAAATGTTTTTTGCTTGTTTGAAGTAATTTTTGGACCAAAAATTATGTACTGGTATATTACATTATTTACATTTACTAATTATATACAATTAATATTCTGTAGTCTGATGGTAAGGTTTCATTTTGTTTACCTACAACAGTAAAACCTCCCTCTCTTACTAACAAAGCAGAAATTCAAGATGCCATTATTA